AGATAACACAAGACAGTGGCATTGGTGCTTGATTCCTGAATGTCTCTCCCACTGGAAAGCAAGAACACTATTGAGGATGCTATTGGGACAACAGAGGAAATTGAGAACTGTCTATTGACAATATCATGCCAGCACACATTACTTGGACAAGATAATGGTCTTTGTGTACATCGAAACCCTTATCCTTAAGGAGTACTTGCCAAAGCACTTAATAATAAGAGTCATAATGTCTACAACTTATTTTTTTAAGTTTGAAAATATTTAAAAAGGGTATATCCTATGTATCTAAACAAATATAGCAGAATGCCAACAATTGGTCGGCCCAGGTGAAGGATATGCAGGTCTTCAGTGTAACTAAACCCGCAGCTTTTCTGTAGGTTTAAACACGTTTAAAATGAAAACATTAAGTAACAAAAAGAAATAGAAAGCCCTCCAACCGTTTTGAGGACAGGTAGGAGCAGAAGCTCTTGACCTTCCGTATCCTCTCTGTGTGGACCAAGCCATGCTCAGGAATTAGAGATGGGGAAACCGGGACTGACAGTCACAGCCCAGGGTGATTAGGGCAGTGACAGAAATACAGGTTGGTACTGGAGAAACCCACAGGGTAAGTACTTATTTCTCACATCACCAAGAATGATGAAGGGAGAACAAGTATTTTCTGGGGGCATTTATCTCTATAGAGAAGTATTCATTTTGATGGAAGTATACATTTCTGGGGTATTTATCTCTGTAGAGAAGAATTCAAGTGTAAAGGGTCTGGCTTTGTCCTTTGCAGGTAAATGCTGGGAGCAAATTTTGGCATGATGTGGTCAACTCTGGTGAAAACCTATGGGTTATCATACTTGCTGAACCCACTGGTCAACTCCCACAAAGAAAACAGGATGAGTCAGCCAAACTCTTGGCTGAAGGGCCAGGAATTAAATCTAGCTTGGCCTCAGCCTGACTCAGAGGCTTGAGCAAGCCTCTTCCCTCTCACAACTTGTACGTTCTCTTCTATAAGATGAGCAAGGATGTTTTGTGGAAGGCTGCATATTAGATATAGCACTGTTCATGAACAACTGTTCGTCCATTTTGTACTCTTCCCCTAACATGGCTGTCTGCTTCTGTATTTCTGCTTGCTCTTCCCAGGAGAAAATAGCTGTGCTAACCATATAGAAAACTGTATCTGGAACGACATCCTGAACCTGCTACTGTCTTTGCTAACTAGCCCGAAACCCTCTTGTTTAGCATGGAAACCCCACTTCCCTCAGAAATAATTAACCTGCTTGATTGCGCTTCTGTAACTGCTTACATAAAAACTCCTGGTAACTGACCCCCTATAAAAAGCCTACTCCAACTTCAGTCGGGGCTACAGTTCTGACTCTCGGCACGCCTCTCCCCGCCAAGCCTCAGACTGTAGTCGCTGGCCAGCTAATAAAGACTCCCTTTAAACTTAATCTGGCTTTGGTGGTTGTTCATTCGGAGACACTCTACAACAGTTTTTGTAACTGTTGCACCTAACAGAAAAAACAAAAGACTAGGACATTCTATGGCATTGATAATCAATGGTAGTGATTATCACTGAATTCCTGTTCTTGGTATGAATTTAGTTTTCATAGAAATTAACTGGTACCTATGCATCCATGCATGATTTAGAGATTAGGAGTTGGCCCCTTGTAATCAAGCCTGTTTCCAGTACTGGAGTGGATATGATAGACCTCGCCCAATCCCCTTGGCTGGGTGTTTGCAGAGAACATCTCACAGCTTCCTCATTTCCAAGGAGGACACATCCTTCACTTTTCAGCTCAGGGGCGAATCTTTGCCAGTGACTCACTGGAATGAGGATGCAAAATGGTCATCTTGTTTTATTGTGAGTCAGCTCTGGTGCAAGTGTGTGGGATCTAACTACAGACAGTCTCCAGCCTTCCTTAGCCTTTCTCTCCTCTTCTTATCCTCTGCCCAACGTGCTTTCCTTGCTCCCCTTCTCTTGAGCACTCTCCTTTGACAAAGTATTCAAAACAGAATTTTTGTCTCAAGCTCTGCTTTTAGAACACCCATCCTCCCAAAAGCTCTTCCTAGAAATATTAGTAGCTGTAACAGGTACCTCAGCAAATGAAATATCCTTGGTGCAATATAGGAGGTGCTTATTTCTTACTTGCATCATGTCTAGTTGGTCAAGTATTTGGGGGTAGGGTGGGAGTATACTTTGCTTTATTTAGATATTCAGGAACTGAGGTGGATGGAGACGCTGCCATCTTCCATGCATGGCTCTAAGGTCACCTTGATGTCAGCATCCAGCCAATAAAGGAAGGCAGGGAAAAGAAGGCACGCCTGCTTCTTCTTTTTTGCTTTTTTTCCCCAAGTTTATTTCTCTCATCAGAGTCATGCGCTCCCCTCCAACATGGCCCCCATTCTCTGATCGCTCCCAGTATCAGCTGGCTTGGATTACAGGAATGAGCATGTGCTCCCTAAGTACTCAGTGAACCCATCACACTTCCTAAGTGGGTCCACTTGTATCACCACTGGACCACCACCTAGCCCTTACTCCTGCTTCTTACTGCTCAGGCTCAGAAGTGGCACAAGTCATTTCTGCCCATGTTCCACTGGTGGGAGCTAGTTCCATGGCCCACCTGGAACTAATGGGCTATGGGGCAGAGGGATCTGGGAAATGTGGTTCCTGGTGGGAAGTCACCACTTAACATCTCCAGACCCTGGAAGGGGAGCACGGATCTCTGGTGGGCAGTTATCTCTGCTATACTACATGGTCATTTCTCTTTCTCCTCTACTTTTTTTAAATTAATTTTTGTTGTTATAGAGTGTTGATACTGATCACAGAGAGACAGAGAGAGAGGTAAAGTGAGAAATCATCTGCTAGGGTGCAGAGCTGTGCCCAGTCTCTTCTCTTCCATTCTCCTCTCTGGATCTTGGGCATGCATGCACACACGCCCAGTGTGATTTACAAGCTGCTTGGTTTGGGATTTGAACCATCCAGTCAGCCATGTGAGATCCAGTGCCTTAACCTCCATACCATCTGCTTGCTCCTTCTTCTATTCTTTCCTCCCTCTTGCTTCTGCTTCTCAGCCCTCTTTCTTATACACCCACATCCAGCCTTCCACAGCCATGTTATAGTACGTAACAGCAAAAAGATACTCCCTATTCTTTCTTATCTCCCTCCTCCTACCCAGTGTGCTAGAGCTGATCTGTATGGGCTTGTCAAATGAGTTTTTAATTATTTAGAAAACTAAAATCAGATGTAGAAGTATTTATACCACAGAAATAGGCCGACACTACAAGGCAGTTTTTATTGATGTTGTTTCTCTCAAAAACTGGATTTCTGGCACCCTACTGCTCTTATCTGTTTCTGGCAAAGGAACTTTGCTCTGTTTAAGAGCAAAGAATGGTATCTATCCTTCAATAGATACTTGTGTACACGACCACCTTCTCCCCATGCCATACCTCACCTTCCTCCTATGTGGAAGGGAAGTGGGAGACTCTAGGCCTGTGTTATACTGTGAAGGAAGAGAACAGAAGTAAACGTGGGAAAGTTATCTTTAAAAGGATTTAAAAAAAAAAAAAAAGCAATACAGGAAGGAAAGAGAAAGAGAAGTAGGAAGCCAGTGAGGTGCAGAGCGCTAGGGGTGGGAAATCATGGACTTCATTGTACTATTCTTGCAGCTTAAAATTTTTCAAAAGAAGCAAAACATCGAAGAGGCCCAAAGTGGAAAGAAATCTGTTGATTATAATGTATATAGTAATGTCTTTGACTGGACCAGTATGCAATGTATTTATGATAGACAAATTAATTTGGTTTGCTGTAATTATTAAATGTAAAAAATAAATGAATTTTTTGGGAACCAGCAGTTAGTGTAATGGCTATGTCGCTGGACTCCCACGTAGTCGACCGCGGTTCGTGTCCCGGACCCGGTGGCTTAAAACTCATGCCGGGCGCGTGTGCGTGCGTGCCCAAGATCCCGAGAGGAGAATGGAGGAGAAGGGATTGCGGCGTGACCATCCCCCCTGGGGGGTGATTTCTCGATTTCTGTCTCTATGTCTCTCTCTGTCTGTCTGGTGAGCGCACGTGCCCTACAGTGAAAATCTCTCCAAAAAAAAAAAGAATTTTTTTTTCAAAATAAAAATATTAAGTAACAAGAAGAAATAGAGAGCCCTTGAATATTGTGTCCACTGTACAATATCGTCATAGACAGTTGGGCCATTTCACCATCTGGGGCCAGAAGTGGCCAGGGTGGCATGAAAAAATGAGGAAATTGCCTTCCCAAGTCCTCTTGTGCGTGCGTGCCCAAGATCCCGAGAGGAGAATGGAGGAGAAGGGATTGCGGCGTGACCATCCCCCCTGGGGGGTGATTTCTCGATTTCTGTCTCTATGTCTCTCTCTGTCTGTCTGGTGAGCGCACGTGCCCTACAGTGAAAATCTCTCCAAAAAAAAAAAAGAATTTTTTTTTCAAAATAAAAATATTAAGTAACAAGAAGAAATAGAGAGCCCTTGAATATTGTGTCCACTGTACAATATCGTCATAGACAGTTGGGCCATTTCACCATCTGGGGCCAGAAGTGGCCAGGGTGGCATGAAAAAATGAGGAAATTGCCTTCCCAAGTCCTCTGAAATGGGGTGGGATAGAGACCGCACAGCTGGGGTGAGGAGGAAAGACAACTTGGGATCTGGACCAGTGGGACCCTGGAAGTCAAGCTGCCTCAGTTTCTAATTACGGAAGGAGCCGAGGTCTTGGACCTCTGGACCTAAGGGAGGAGAGGCTGGGGTCCTGAACTCCTAGGTCCAAGAGGAAGGTCTGGAGGCCTGGACTCTGGGCCTGAGAGAGAAGGGACTGGGGGCCTGAATTCCTGGGTCCAAGAGAGAAGGAACTGGGGCCTTAGATGGAGGAGGAACTGGGGCCTTAGACGGAGGACTTCTGGTTCTCCTAGGCCCTTCAAGCGGATGAGACTCAGAGGGTGGGCCAGAACTTCATTATGTAAAGTGCTCTTTCTCCACCCCTTTCCTGGGTTGCCTTGGGTAAGATGAAATATAAAAGGCTGGCTTCCTGGTAGAAAGAACAGAGAGGAATTTCCAGTCAAGACTGGTCATGATCCCTGTCTCAGTGCTGGCCCTCCTGGGGGTCAACTTCTTGCTGCCTGGTGAGTGAAGACCCCAACCTGGAAGAGAATTTTCCTGAGTACTGGCAGGGGACCCCTACTGAGATGAATTTGTTCTTCCAATCCTAGGAGTGCAGGCCCTGCTCTGCCAACTGGGGAAATTTGAGATTGTGAGGAACATGTCGGAGCTGCCCCTCCAGTGGACACCTAAAGAGCAATCCTGTGAGACTGGCTGGGGTTGCCAAGACACACTGGTGCTCACTGAGAATGGTGAGGAGAGCCTCAGGACTCAGGACACCCCTCCCCCAGGACCAGGAGCAACCTTTCGGGGCCTAGTTGCCTCATCTCCAGCTTCTCAACCCACACTCAGATGCAGACCCTACCTCTAGGACCTGGTATCCTGGTGTCCCTACCACTGCTTGCTCACCTTCCTCTCTTGGTCCAGGACCCTATGTAAACTTGATACTCACCAAGGGCTGCACTGAGGCTGAGGACCAAGAGGCCCGTGTCATGGAGCATAGGACAGGCCCGGGTATCTCCATCGTCTCTTACACCCACGTGTGCCGCCATAAGGACCTCTGCAACAACCTGGTCAACACCAGCCCTCTCTGGGCTCTGCCCATTGAAACAGGTGCTAAGGGGTGGAGGACGGGGATGCTGTTGGTAGGAGGGAGTAAGGGGCTATGGAGGAGTTGAAGCCAGCACAGAGGGGCTGTGTCACTGTCCATGGCCCCTGACTGCTCCCTCACTCTCTCTCACCGGCCCTGTCCCCACATACCCCAAGCACTCCCAAGCCCCTCTTCTGACTGTCCTAGAGCAGAAAACTGGATTGTTTATAAAATGTTAAACTACCTCAGACTCAGAGGATGACCCTAATCTGGTGCTGCTGGGTTTGATTCCCTTATGTCTCATTTAGGATTTTATTTTTTGAGTTCTTATTCACATTTAATTGTTGTCCATCTTTATAGCACACAAGATGGTTTTCAAAGTATGCATGAAGTATGTGACCACCACATCAAGGATGGGACCACATACTGAATTTTCAATGGAGAATCTTATTTCTCTTCACTGTTTCTTCCCAGAGCCCCTCCTACCACTTTCTATTATCCACCCCCCTCCCATACAGTCTCTAGTATCTACACGTGTTCTCCCTACTATTAAGTTGTTGGGTCTTTCCATTTCTGCTATAGAGTGAAGATGTTCTGTATATATTGAGAGAGGATATACGTTTTTCATTTCCTTTTTTTAAAGTGAGACTGACTTGCAACTTTCTACTGTCTCATGTCTGATGTTATAAAAAGAATTTAGGGCTGTGTTTTATGTTTCTCCACTCTGGAATATTTTGCTTGTCTTCTTGTCAGTTGAGTAGGCCTTGACCGTGAAGACACTGTTTCCTTCCAGGGCACCTTCCCAGCTCCGCCTTGACCGTCTGTGCCTGTCTAGCCTCAGAAGGCAAGACTTCTCCAGGTGGTTTAGGCTTGACCAAGGCAGAGTCTGTATGCAGCCTCTGAGTCCTCTCTCTCTTCCTCCTCACACTCTTATCTGGGACCCCAGCACCCTCTTCCAAACTAAGTTCCAGCCCCTCTCCCCAGATCTCACATTCCCGCTCTCCCTGGCCACACATCCCCAATTCCCTCCACCGGGGCCTGCCTGAGAGGAACCCAGGGAGGGAACATTAGGGAGATTGAACAGGTTGAGTCTTGGGGCCAGAAAAAGCATGGGGGGGAGAGAAAGTCTGATCAAATTCCAATCCTTTTGGAGCACCCCTCACTCTATCACTTCTCCAGCCCCAGGGCGCTTGCGGTGCCCAACCTGCTTGTCTGTAGAAGGCTGTCCAGAGACTGTGCCAGAGCAGACCTGCCCCGTGGGGCACACACACTGCTACAATGGGGTCCTCTTGTTCACAGAAGGTAAGTGGGCCATCAGGGTGCTACAGGGACTCAACGGGGATGTCTGGGGACTAAGGTCTAAGTCACTGGGCTGAAGCATGGCATGTGACCTCAAAGAGGTTAGGCCTGGCTTCCTGGAACTGCACCTCCCTCTGAGGGTTGGAGGGTCCTCACGTCTGTGTCTCTGTCTCTCCCTCTCTCCCCTCTCTCTGCAGGGCTCATCTCCACCATTCTGAAAGTCCAGGGCTGTATGCCCCAACCAGGATGCAACCTGTTCAATGGGACTCGGGAGATTGGGCCCATGGCCGTGAGTGAGAACTGCAATCCTAAGGGTGAGTCCCACTGAGGCCTTGCTGACATAGGGGATGTTCACAGGCAGCACGGAAGTCAGTGACAACAGGAATGCAGATGTTTATTGCAGCCTCAGGAATGTGGAGAGCGAGGGATTCTCTGGGTAGGTGTTGGGAGGCTGGGGGCTGAGGTGCCAAGAGGAAGTATCTGGCTGAAGGAGAGAGCAAGAGTGTGCTCCAAGGGACAGATTTGTAGGACAAGAGTCCACTGGTAGGAAGTTTTTGCTTTCTCTCTTTTTCTTTTTTTCTGTCTACCTTTTCAGTGTGTGTGTGAGAGAGAGGCAGAGAGCCAGACAGAGAGATAGGTAGCCCAACAGGGTCCCCACACCATGAACCACTTCCAGCCCCAGCCTCGGCTAACCCAGATCACTGGGTTTCCCCGTCTATGCTTCAGTTTCCTCATCTTGCCCACACCACCTTAACCCTTAGAACCTCAAAAAGGGTTGAGTACGTTCAGCCAACGTTCTTCTTGGGGCTGGAGCTGTCTTCCTATCTAGATTGGGAGCCCTGGGGGTGGGAGCTGAATGTCACTGATGCCAAGTTCTCCAGCCTCATGTAGTGCAAGACCTGGCTCCGGAAAATGAGGTCACACAGCATTGCCAAGTCTCCCGGGGAGAACCCAGATAAACCAACCCAGGCCCTGCTAAAGAGTCTCTAGCATCAGGAGGGAAAGATTCCACGGACCTATGATCACGGCTTGGGTGCTCAGGGTCATGGTGGAGGGGATGCTCAGGGAAGGGAGATACTGATGCCTTGCAGTTGAGAGTGGAATCAGGAAGGACATCCCAGAGGAGGGACCTGTGAACCGTTGTTAGTGATGAGCTGTAGTTCATGGGTAGGAGAGGAAAGGACATGACAGACAGAGGGAACAGCACGTGCCAAGGCTTGGATATGGGAGTAAGCCTACTGTTTTCAAGAGGAACTCCTGAATTCTGCCTGGGAAGGGCTCATAGCGAGGATGGGTACAGCTGGGATTGGGGGGAGAGTCACAAGTTTTCCAGGAGGACAAGGTTGGTAGGGGAAATAACCTGGCCTGTCTTAGGAATGGATATTTGTGGAGAACAGAGAAGGTGGGAGGCATGGTGATCAGTCAAGCACCTGAAAAGCCAGGCTGAGAGGGCAAACTTTCTCCCAAAGGTAGGGGAGTCATGGAAGGCTGTTGAGAAAGGAGGGAGTCAATTATCTTTCCTTTTGATTACTGCTGGTTTTAATTGTCTGGCCTTCATCTCTGGGACTAGGTAGCATTCATAATCCAGAAGACATTTCAGAAACTCATCCCACACACAACACACAATACACACATACACATAACATCATGCCACATGCAGACCACACATTACACACCATGCATGCCCACATACCCTCCACATATATCATGAACCACATTGACCACACAGCACACACAGCACACACATACCACACGCTGCACGCCACATGATGTATCCACCACACACAAACAAATCACAGATACATAGAATACACACCATGCCAAAACATAGCTAATGCATACAACAAACATGACATGCACTGTATCACTGCATGCATTGCCCACACAGCACACATCACATACTGTACACACACATCACCATATAACACACCCACGTATACATCACACATCCCTCACACACAAACCACACATGCACACTTAGCCCATGCACATACACGTTCACAGCACCCTTCACACACATGCTACATAAAACATAGCTATTACACCACAAGCAAGTGTTCTTAATACACGCCCACATTCATTTAGCTTTCAGCATCAGAGCCAAAACTTGGAGGAGGTTTTGCCTTCCCTGCTTGGGCTCAGCTCAGCACTTGGTAAATATTTAGTGAGCACCAGCAAGATTAGGCCTCAGCAGCTAGGGCCGCAATGAGATGTCAGGGAGAGTGGAGGGGAGAAGGGCATTCCAGGGGGATCCGACAGCTCCTGCGAAGACATGGGGGCAGAGGGCTAGGTGCAAGGGTGCAGAGTGCCCCATTGGGCCATGGCAGTACCCCATACTGAAGGAGGGCCACAGGGCTGGAAGGTGTAAGGCTCTGACTATCCTGTGCAATGGTCCCAGTAAAAGAATCAGAAAGATGCAGGTTCCCGTCCCCACTCAGCCAAGAAACCAGCTTTTGAGTATCGAATCGACATCATTTGGGTATCAAGTCTCAACACCTCAATGAGCCTTTCTCACTAAATGTGG